TGCAAGTGTGGATTTTGGTTGAGAAGTCTGAATAGAAAGCTCCATAATCACATGTTACTGTTTTTCCTGAGCTATCATTTGTGACTCACAAGAGTGAATCATCCATTGTTGCACCGCCCTGAATGCTGTGACAGTGCACAACTGAAGTCCATTGTAGTTACAGGTTAACAATCTGTCTTTGACTGTGGATTAACTGTTGTGCTTTGTATCGAGACAGTACTAGTTTAACTTTTAACACTGTGAATGTCATGACCACAAGCATTCGGCTCATGAAAATGAGAACGATTATAATACCAATGCTATCATGACCCAGACATCACTGAAAACAAAGACTAAGTGATGATATTGTTTTAATGGTAACTGGAAGGATTCCTACAACTGGATCAGGAAAGTAAGTCACCAAACAGATCATAGTGTATGACACGCAGAAAACAATTCAGGGTCGTGCATGGTGGAAGAAGGTATATAAAAATACATACGATGACTGAATCTCATGAGTTCAGGATGAGACATGCAAGAATTAATACTTCTAAGTCAATCAAAACTGATTTTGTTTTGGTTTTGTTTTTTTTGCCTCCCCTACCCCAGAAAGACACCAATGCTCAGTCAAAAATAACAGCCACTACTAATTTAGGCACACCACACAAATGGATGCAGTATTGTTCCCTTGACTGACTGCTCTGCGAAACTGAGTAAAATTACATTTTTAAAATTACATTTCCTGTCTCAGATATTATAGTTAAATGTCCAGTGGGTGAGCCAAAGGGGAAATTCTAACAGATATCTTGGCCCTTTAGTGTAAAGCTAATCTATCAGGTTATACCAATAATCATGTTTCTGTAATGTAATCATGGCAATGACAAATCCCTACATATTATATATTTTGATTTAAACAACAGAGTTTCAGATATTTTAAAAAGTTAATTAATTTACTTAATGAGTGAGAGAGAGAGAGGAAAAGTGAGGAATCTTTGACAGGATTTTGCCATCCCATGATTCTCCCCTTTACCTGTCAGCCAGCCAGGATTATGGATGCATCTAGCATGCTTAGATCAATCCAGGATTTAAATGTGGGGCCTTCTTATATGGCTTTGGCAATGCATAGCAGCACTCTACTACCTGTGCCAAAGCACCTGGGTCTCAAGTCATCTTCTTGGCTTCTGTGAAGGTTATAATAAAACCTGAGAAAACATAAAACTAAAGATTGCTTACAGTTGGATATGAATTAGACTTTATTTATCTAATATTAAGCAGATTACAAATGTAAATGTGACAAATTCCATTTAGAAAGTATCAGGGAATTAAAACCCTGGGTGCCCAATTAGCTCTCAACTAAATAACTGCTAGGGATTAGTGTATAAGCACTCTCACCCCTTGACTGGGAATATGTTCTAATGATTTTCCAAAGTTCCCTGAGAACCGAGCTACTGTCCACAGTGGTAATTTGCTTGATAATGTGCCCTTTAATGTGCCTCTTCCCTGTCTCCCTTCCCACTGCCCTACCAATGCTTTCTGGGATCATCTCCCAAATCCTTGTCTCGGGATCTGTTTCTGGTGGAACCTAAGCTAAGCCAGTGCATCATGAACCAAGGATTATGATTCAAGAACATATGGCACATTAACAAAAACTAAACATATGCCAAGCTATAAAGTCTCAACACATTTTAGAAGATTAAAACTGTATATAATTTTGTTCCCAGACCAATTGCAATTAGGCAATATAACTAGAAATACCCCCATATGTTTAGAAATTTAAAAATATGATTCTACTAAATAGTCTGAGCTCAATGAAGAAATCAAAATAGAAAGCTAACATTTTATGAAAAATTTAAGTGCATTCATTAGAAAAGAAGAAAGGCTGAAAACCAGTGAGCTAAACATTCATTTCAATAAGGTAGAAAATAGGACTGGCTCTGTGGCACAGTGGTTTTCAAATCTCAGCCCTGGCAGCTTGAAAAACATGCTGGGTACAATGCATGTGTGCCTAGAATCCTGATGGGATGGAGGACGAAAGGAGACTGCAAGGTGTTCATACCCTATTGAAGAGTGCTTCCTCTGTATCTGTTTGGCAAGCACATGCACCCTGTCGGGGGTGGGGAAAGAAAAAGAAAATTAAAAATTAAATCCAAAAAAGGAAACAGAATTAATTAAAGTAAAAACAGATATGCCAATAGCATTGATAAAAGTCAAAAATAAATTCTATGAAAATGTTAATAAAACTATTCAGGACTGATCAAAAAAGTATTAGAGTATAATCAACCACTGTCAGAAAAGAAAAGGAAGTTATCACTAGTGATTCTATAGACATCAAGAAGATACTAAAAAAACATTAATTTATGGCAAATTGAAACCGTAGATGTCTTGTTCTGCTTTCTTTCTTTTTAATGAGATCGCACGTGCATGGCACATGCATGCATAATAAAGCAGCATCCTAATTAGGTTCATCACGCTGCAAGACCCTTTCCCCAGCCTTCTACCTCCTCGAGATTGTAGGTGTACACACACACACACACACACACACACACACACACACACACACCATGTATTCAAGGTAACTCAGGGATCCGAACCAGTGATTAGTCATATGGCTTCCAGTCTTGCAGAGCATTTGTGTTACTGCTGCACCACAGCAGCCAAACTCTTTGTCTGTTTTTTGTTGCTATAACAGAATATGACAGATTAGGGTAACTTACAAATAATTTAAATTTACTTGGCTCACAATTCTGGAGGATGGGAAGACCACGAGCATGGTTTCTGCATCTGGTGAGGGTCAACTCATGGCAGAAGGGTGGAGGTAAAAGTGAATGCACGAAACAGAAAAAAGGAAATCAAGATGAACTCATTTTTTATTGTGAACCTTTTCCCTTTATTATTAACCCACTCTCATGATAACATTTATCTATTCTTTTTAAAAATATTTTACTTTTTTTATTGAACTTTATTTTTTATTTATTTATTTTAATTTGATGAGAGAGAGAGAGAGAGAGAGAGAGAGAAGTGAGAAAGCAAGCCACCAGGTCTGGAACTCAAACCAGTCAGCCATGCGGGAGTTAAGGGCCCTTAACCACCATGCCACCTGCCGGCCCCAACATTTATCCATTCTTGAGGGCAGAGCCCTCGTGACCTAATCACCTCTTTAAAATTCCACCTCTTAATACTGTATTGTGGCAATAAAGTTTCTTTTTTATTTTTTTAAGTAAGTTTTGCTAGCATGTGTGCTCACTGAAGAGACACCGAGAGACAAAGACGGAAAGCGAGAAATCACTCCCCGGGGTGGGTAAGGGTGGTAGTGGCCATGCCACAATCCATTCTCCTCTTGGAATTTTGAGCATGCACACACACATGACCAGTGTGAGTTTCAAACCACTAGTCCAGGGCTCGAACTATAGTTGGCCATGTGGGAGTCCAGCACCTTAACCACTACACCATCCTCTGGCCCCAAGCAATTAAGTTTCAACATAAATTTAGGAAGAGAAAAACCATAACAGTAGATGATGTGAAAAATTCCTGGAAAAATACAATTTACCAAACAGATAGAGGAAATAGAAACCGTAAATCCTTGTGGTAGTTTAATATGGACACAGATTCTTCGCAAATGCCATCAAGTCAAATCTGCCCACTCTTCTACTCTGGACTGGCCTCATGACTGCTTTTACTAGTAAAATGTGGTAAAAAAATATTGTCTTTAACGTTCCAATTTTCACTCTCTTGGACTCCTAAGACTATCATATAAGGAAGCTGGGCTAACCTATTGAAAAGATGTCAATTTAGCAATGTTCTAAAAATGCGGTCTGGATCTCCATTTTGTCTTTTGTCTCCATTTTAACTCTTTTAGTTGCATAGAGAATCCCATTCTAGATTACTCAGTCAAAGCAGTGTGGGCTGAAAACATCCACATAACCTGAATTCATCAGGTAAAGAGGTGTATTACTTATTGCCCCCCAAGAACTCCATCCACAGTGCAAGGAAATAAGCTGAGAACAGAAGACCAACAGGACTCAGGCAACCCTTTCAGGGACCACAGGAAAGGATCGTAATCCTCTCTCCACAATTTAGGTTTCTTCCTGCCTCAGTCAAAGCAGCTGGTGGCTACTGCAACCCTGACTACACAGGACTTCCACCTTAGGTCCTAAGGCAACAACTTCATTTTGGAGATTAATCCCCAGGAGAGACTCCCATGAACTAGGCTCATTTTTCCAAGCCAGAGCATAGCCTTGGGTTTCAGATGGCCAGTCAATCTAACTTTCAGCGAGTTGACATCATGTATAAGGAGAAGCAACTTGTGTGAATGGTGAATCTAGGTGCAGGCCACAGATGTGTTCAGTTCAGTGCTCTGGGGGTCTTTCTCTGTCCTACACACTTGCCTTTCTGATCTCTGCTTTTTAGGACTTGCCCCAACTGGGGAGTCTGTGATCAACTGGCTGTACCCACAGAGCCTCTAATCTTAAGGAAAAACATTAAGAAGCTGCAGTTGGCTCAGCCTCTGTGGTACAAGCTGGCTGCTTACCAGAACACAGAGTTAGAAACCACACACAGACCATAGTTCAAGTCCTCAGTCTAGTGTGCTCATGCCCAGGAGCCTGGTAAGCTGGCAGGCTGGAGGGAAGGAACTGCAATGTGACCAAGCCCTATGAAGGATGCTTCATCTCCATTGCCTAATGCCTATTTTTACCATTCAACTTGTTCTGAATTCAGCAGAGAAAGAGGTGTACTACTTATTGGCCCCCATGCCTCAAGAAAATTCAATAAAGATCTGGCGAAAGCTAGAGTGTAAAGAAGAAAGAGCCCTTCCTCACTGTGCATGTAGCAGGAGACAGGAATTGGCTGTTTGAAAGAGCTAACAAGGGAAGAGGAGCTGTCTTAACCCTGTGAGTAGATGGAGCATCCTGTCCCCTCTCAGACCCTTCCTTAGCACACCAGGTGAAGCTAGGGAGCAATCAGTGTTTCTTCCCAGCCAGCTCTCCTAGGATCCCCTTAGGGGCTGAAGGCAGGAACTAAAGCCCAATACACAGCGTCTTTATTTATTGGGGTCCTGATGTCCAGGGAAGCCAGGCCCATAGAACTCCATGTGGCCATCTGTGGCAGTGGGGACACCAAGTGGCCAGTCCTTCATGTCCAGTTTTTCTATAGTCAAGCATCCTCAGGAAGCAGGAAGAGGCTGTGCCTGTGGAGAAAACACAACATCTACTATCACCTCTATTGTGCCCATCCCCAGAGACACTATGTAGATACAGCAGAGGCTGCCCTTGCAGAGCCTACAGTCTGGAGGGAGATGGTGCCAGGCAATGACACTGGCCAGGTGCCATGTAAATAAGTCAGTCATGGTGAGCTGGCCTGGGAGCAGTGCTTGATAATGCACTTTGTATTGAATGCCTTCTTCTTTCTGTCTCTCTTCTCCACTCCCCTACCAGTGTTTCTATAATCAAATTACAAATATATTATCTCAAATTCTTAGGAAGGCACCATTCCACTGTTGTTACTGAGCATCTATCGGGTGCCTGGTATTGTTAAAGGTAACTGGAGACCCAGCAGGCAAAAATCTCTGACTAGGAAGTTTACAATCAAGTAGGGAGGGACAGACGACAAATGAACAGAAATATGGTGATTGGGCTGGGCCCATGGTCCAATGGTTAAGCACTGTGCAGAAGGAGTTGGATTCCACATGGCTAATCATGGTTCAAATCCTGGCCCTAGAGTAAACATGCCAGGCATATATGCACATGCCTAGGATCCTAATGGGCTGGAAAAATAGAGGAAAATGATTGCAGCATGACCAGGCCCCCAAGAAAGGTGCTTTCTCTTTCTCGCTCGCTCTCTCTCTCTGGCATGCATATGTGCGCTGGTGTTTTTTTTTTGTTTTTTGTTTTTTTTTTAAATATAGGACTAAAAATGTGACAAATTTTATAAAGAAAACTGAATCAGGGTTAAAAACAGAGGTGTATGTGGAGGGAAGTTGGGACTTGCTTGGCAGAACACTTTTTTGAGTGGGGGTGTTGTGGATTAGAAATAAACATAAACACACAAATACATATAAATATAGAAAACCAACAATCAGGTGGGCCCAACTTCTCTGATGGAGATAGTGGCAACCCCGAACCGGTCTCACATTTATTCTTTTAAAGAGCAGAAAATGGGGGAAGAGGAAATGGAATGCAGAGGCAGTTGTCTTTGGATATTAATAGGCTAAAGATGCAAAAACAACTGGCACCATGTAGTTTTTCTGATCTTTTGGTGAATTTTGATAAACACACAAGGCTTCCTTTAAACAGATACAGCTCTGCAGTTTCAGGCAGTTAGTGTATTCGCATGTAAATTTTTTCTATCACCATGGAAATGATAGCTCATGGAACCGCATTTTTGCATGTACCTAGAGGTCACCATGTTTGCTCAGATTGACTGTTCTCCACAGAGGGGGAGGTGCATGTAGCACTTTAAATGTCAGCTACAAAAACATGAAATGTTCCATCAAATCTTTATATCATGTTGTCTGAGTTAAAATTATTTGTGTGTTTGCTGTTGTGTAGAGTAGGAAACACAGCAGGAGTGACTCTCACTGTCTCCAACTAGGGAAGAAAAGGATGCTGTCACCAGAAAGATGACAGTAAGGAGAAAATCGGTATTAGTTACTCTGATGCAATGGAAAACCATGAGAAGGTTTTAAAGGGGAGAGATATGACCTAATTTCCATTTTAAAAGCTCTTTTGGCTGCTTGTGGATGCTTTTGGCTGCCAGAGAAGATAGACTGTGGGGACAGCGTGGCCACAGGGAGATCAAAGAGGCTTGTTACTTGTCCAGGGTGAGTAGAGCAACAGGTCCTAAGATAGAGTGAGGTCGTTACTGTTCAGATCCCCAAAACCCTTTAGGAAACATCCCCAACAGATGGCTGAGAACTAGCACAGACAGCATGTGATTATTACTGAATGTTTCCTGAGGAGAGTTAAGTCCTTCTGGTTGGTTTCTGCAGTTATCCTTTTTATTTTTTTTCCAATTAAAAATATTTTTTTTTCTGGAGCCAGCAAGTGGCATAATGGTTAAGGCACTGGGTACTCCCATGTGGCTGACCATAGTTCAAGTCCTGAACCTGGAGGCTTGCTTTCTCACTTTCTCTCTCTCTCTTTCTCTGTGTCACTCTCTGGTCAAATTAAAATAAATAAATGAATACATAAAATTAAATAATTCTTTCAAAATAAAAAAATAAACTTTTTTTTCTTTGAATTACCAGAGAACATTGTACTCCCCAGAGAACAAATCCCTCAATGGGGTATGGTCATGCTATAATCCCTTCTCCATTTTTCCATCCTGTTAGGATTCTGGGGAATGCCTAAGCACACAAATACACCTGGCATGTTTTTCTATACCTCCAGGGCTGGGATTCAAACTGCAGTTGGACATGTGGGATCTAGCTACTGATATACTGCACTTAACCACCATGTCACAGGCAGGCCCTATCCTTGCTTTTAAAAAAGAGCCAATGAGGGGACTGGCAAGTGGTGTGGTGGTTAAGGTGCTGGACACTCCCACATGGCCGACCATGGTTCGAGTCCTGGACCTGGTGGCTTGCTTTGTCACTTTCCTCTCTCTCTCTCTCTCTCTTTTTCTCTCTGTCTCTGTCTCTCTGGTCAAATTAAAATAAATGAATGAATAAATGAAATTGAATAAAATAATTTTAAAAAAAAAAGAGCCAATGACTGTAGGGCCTGATTAGAAAGGCATCTCTCCAAAAGCTACCCTGAAGCAGGTGATGAGAGGGAAGCAGTTACAAAGATGGCAGAATGTGAGTCATGATGGAAGGGAATTGGGGACATTGAGAGCCCAGGGACAGGGATGAGGACTCAGGGGAGGTTTTCTGAGGGTGTGCCACTCAAGCTACGGTAGGAAACAGCCAGAGGATGAATTAGGAAGGGCAATCCAGGCAGAGGAAAACAATTGGTGGCAGAAGAGCATGCATACAGTTGAGTAACTGTACATTCACTGAGACTGGAACATAGAGGTTAGGTGGCAAGTAGAGAGAGGTGGGGCCAGAAGTCACATGGGCAACATCCTGTATGCCCTATAGGCTGTGCTGAAGTTGAGATGTGGCCTGGAGGAAGTGAGCGCCATGGAAAGGTTTCTAATAGAAGCAAAATATGGTCATATTTATTCTGTGACCATCACAGAGAAAGGACTGAAAAAGTTAAGCTAGACCAGAGGCCAGAAGGCTGCTCCAATGGTATGACAGAGAAGACAGGGTTGTAGGAACTGAGACAGAACCACATGAGAGGTTGTTCAGAGAGGGCTAGTGACAGCTGTGACTTTTGTCTTTAGAGCTCACAGACCACTGGTTGGGAGAGGCAGTAAACGTCTGAAAATGCATTTCTCAAATCTGTTCTCTATCATTGCTCCCAAAGAAAGAGTTTCTTTAGTCTTTCTCTATATTTGTTTCATCCATAAAGTTTTTTGTTGATTTTTTTCCCCACTCACTACAGGGCATGTGCACCTGTCAGAGACAGAGAGGGAAGGAAAGTGAGAAAGCACCTCCTAAGGGGCATAGGCACAACATAATCCCCTCTTCTACATTTTGTTCTCAGGATTATGGGCACATATGTACACATGCCTTATGAGTTTTTCAAGCTGCCAGGTCTGGGACTCTAACCACACAGTTGGCCGTGTGAGATCTAGCCATTGTTTTTCTTTTTTCTTTTTAAGGTTTTTAACATAGGGAATATGTGCTTACCAGAGAGACAGAGAAAAGGAAAGTAAGAAATCATCCCTAGGGGGATGGTCATGCCACAGTCGCTTTTCCTTCATTCTCTCCCTAGGATTTTCAGGTATGCATGCACATGGCACCCAGTGTGAGTTTCAAGAAACCAGTCTGGGACTCAAACTGTGGTCAGTCATGTGGGAGTCTAGCACCTTAATTGTCACCTGCTAGTCCCAAAGGATTCAGCCATCTTAACCTCCATGACATGTGCTGGCCCCAATAGCATTTTAATACCACGGATATACTGTATATCTGTTTATGTCCTATACATGATAAAAAGAATATGATTTAAAAAAAAATTGCTATAGGGCATGTTCACTCACCAGAGACAGAGAGAAGAAGCAAGAAACTCCTAAGGGGAATGGCCACAATGCAATCCCTTCTCCATTCTCCTGGGATTTTGGGTGTACACACACACACACACACACACACACACACACACACATTGTCTAACGTGTTTTTCAAGTTACCAGGTCCAGGACTTGAACTGTAACAGTCAGTCATGTGGGATCCAGTCACCTTAATCTCTATGCCACCTGGCCCCAAAAAGAGTTAAGATTTGTTTTGCTCACCCTACCCTGCCACCTCTACCAGTACTGCTATGGAATAATGAGAAAGGAGAGAATGGGTAAGGTAGGAGGTAGATGAGGTCAGCATGAGAAAAAACGCAAGAAGCCCAGCAAAGACTTGAAGTTTTGTTCTTTTTTTTTTTTTAATATTTTATTCAACTTTATTTATTTACTTATTTTAATTTGACCAGAGAGAGACAGAGTGAGTGAGTAAGCAAGAGAGAGAGAGAGCACAAGAGAGAGAGAGAAAGTGAGAAAGCAAGCCTCCAGGTCCAGGACTCAAACCATGGTTGGCCATGTGGGAGTCCAGTGCCCTTAACCACCATGCCACCCACTGGCCTCTGAAGTTTTATTCTTAATGTGAATGTGAAGCCACTGGAGAGTTTTGTTTTGTTTTGTTTTGTTTTTTTAAGATTGATTTAATTTTATCTATCATTACTATTATTTATTTTTAATTTGCTACAGGGCATGTGTACTCACCAGAGAGAGACAAGGAGAAAGAAAGTGAGAAAGCTGAGACTCAAACCACTGTCGGCCATGTTCAAGTCTAGTGCCTTAACCTTCACGTCACCTGTTGGTCCCAGCCACTGGAATGTTTTAAATAAAAATGTAATGCAACTAGATTTCATAAGTTTTTGTTTCTTTTGTTTATATTTTTGTTTTTGCCATAGAGCACTTACGCTCAGCCTGGATAAAGAGACAGAAAGTGGGAAATCACTCCCCAGAGGTATGACCATGCAGCAATCCATCCTCCTCCATTCTCCACTCCAGATTTTCAAGTTGCTGGGTTCAGGACTCAAACTGCAGTTGGCTACCACAATGCCAAATGCTGGCCCCCCTACATTTCAGTTCTTAAATGCTCACTCTGACCACTGTATGGAGGCAAATGAAGTATTCTGGGAAACCAGGTAGAAAGCTAAGGCAGGTATCTTAGTAGAGATACCTGTAGTGGAGAGGTGAGGAAGGTGGTTGGACTAAAGCAGAGGGCAAAAGGTGTTCATGTTCTGGATTCTGGAGGCACAGTAAAGGCCTGTGTGGTAATGGGGAATGGGACTGACTCCAAAGTCTTTACCCTAAACAACTAGGATAAGGGGGGAAACTTTGGAGGAAATTGATAAACTGGTGAGCTTCCCTTACCTCCACAGTCCTGGGTGACATTGGCAGTTGCACCTGCTCAGCACACTGCAGGAAGCGGCGCACATGATCTGCACAGTTGCCCACAGCAGCTTCATTCTGTCGAAGACATTCCTCAAAGGCCTCAAAAGGCTCAGCACAAGCCTGGCGGATCTGGCGGATGATTGGGCTGTGGCGGCAGGACATTTTAGGTCCTGGGAGACTCCTACTCTGTTGTCCACCATCCCCCACCCCACCCCCACCCAGCACTATTGTCTATTTGCCCATACTCACTGGGAGGATGTGCATCGAGCAATGCTCATCTTAAGGTGGTGACAGTCTCGCTGCCAAGACTCAGGCTTGGCTGCCACACACTGGCCATATTGCTCCAGCTCCCGGCCACAGTAGCGAGCAGTGATCTCCAGGGCTGCCTGCCTGTGAAACAGAGTGCACTAAAGATAATTCCAAGCAGCACACAAGAAAGGAGTTCTGATCTGGGTCTGAGATAGGACTATGGGCCTTAAGCAGATTAGGATTCTGAAGGATAGGGGGATGGGGCCAAGGAGGTGTAGAGGTAAGATCTGAGCCCTGGATATTGCAGAGCATGGTGAAAGCTTCTGAGGAGACAGTGGAAGTCCTAAAACAAGGTCTGGTTATTTAAGGAAGGTCTTGGGAGTCCTGGAAGAAGGGTCTTTGAATTCTTTGTAGACCAAAGAATCATGAAGGGGGGATAAAAAGGCTTAGAAGATTTAGTGTTCCAAGTAAAGAACTTGGGAATACAAAATGGATTTAGAGGTCCTAAGAGTGAGGTTTAGAGATTCAAGATGATGAGGTCTCAGATCCTGGGCCAAGATCTTGGCCAGGGTCTCAAGATGAGACCTGGGTAGAAGGGAACTGCAGATAAGACATGAGACCCTGGGATGTCTTTGCGGTTACTAGGGTGGAACAGTGATCTGAAACTTTTGGATATGTTTGGGATTCTTGGGTAGATGTGGAGAAGTATGCTTTTGGGATTGAGGAGACAAAATCTGGAAATTCAGAGCAAGGTCACGGTGATCTGGGAACAAATCTGTGGGACCTAGGCACAGCACAAGTGTGGTGTCCTGAGCACAATTGGGAGGTTCAAAAAATAGGGTTTGCGATCCATCTTGGATCTCCAGGCACTGGTATATGAGTTTTAAAGATCCTTATGCAACTCCGAAGTCCTAGTATTGCAGTGTGCAGGGCCCGGCCTAGGATTCTAGAGGCGGAGCTCGGGTGATCAGAGATGAACCCGAAAGCCACGAGGAGGAAAGGGGCGAGGCAAAACGCTCAGAGGGCGGGGCCTGGACACGCGAAGAGGCGGAGCTGTGCGGAAAGGCACGGAATCCAGCGCGTTGGATCTCCAGGGAATAAAGATCTACCAAGATCCTGCATTAAGTCCAGGCCACTGGGGAAGAGAAAGTGCTGCAGTAGCTACGCGGTTGACGCCTTCCTTACTCACATTTCGAGAACGGTGCCGGCGCGGGATCAGTCAGGGAAGAGCGACCCGCCTTTTCCGGCGTCAGGCTGTCATGGCGGCGCCCTGTCCAGCCCTCTTTGCCTTTTAGTTTCCGGTCACAGAACGGACTCGCAGGCCAATTCCCTTTAGGCTCGTCCTGTCATGGCGACGCCCTGCCTCTCCTTCCGGCCTGGGCTCGTCAGAGCGGTGACCTTTATAACCTCTTCCGGCCCGTCTGGGCGTGGCTTTAACCGTACTTCCGGCTTGCCGTGGCAGCGCCCAGGAAGCAATCGGAAGTGCAGCTGTACCTGGCCCCAAAGCAATTGCAACGCTGAGGCGCGCGGTGCCTTGTGGGCTGAGCTATAGCTTCACGCACCCGGTGGCCTTGCTGGAGTGAGCGGCTGCCGCTCCTGCAGCCCCTCAGCCCGCTGCTGTGGGCTGCTTGGTTGGACGCCATGGCTATGTGGGCTGCTGTTCTCAGGGACGGGAGCATTGCGCACGCGCTCACCGTCGGTCCTCCGCGCGCCCTCGGGCACCGCGGGGAAGGGCAGTCACCTCTACAGCCAGACAACTCTGGTTTAGGTCTTCCATCTGCTCAGCCTGGGTTGCCTCTTGTTCCTGAGCTCTACGGTCAACGGATGTGGATTTTAATCCTGGCTCCAGGCAACCATGGCAAGTTGTCTTCCCTCTTTGTAATGCTTCCTGGTGTGGCCGTTTCCACTTCCCTTCTTTATCTGTTTTCAAAATGTGAGGCTAGATAGATCATACTTAACGAGGCTGGCCATTCCTTGGTCGGAGAACCGAGCGTTTGTTCTGCCTTCTAGCATGCAGAGGTCTTCCAAAACTCGGACTCCAGTGAGCGGAAAGGGCACTAACCCGACTTCAGATAAGCAAGAGCTATTTGGCTGTGAGCAAGTGCCAAACACTTGTAGTCTCAGCGTGCCCGTCTGTTAAATAGGGATGATGCCAGTAACATCCTTCACAGGACATAGTGCAAGTGAGCATTTCAGCACGGAACCTGGACCCTCAGTTCTGGATAAGCGAGCATTGTTATAGAAAGCTGTAGCCCCGAGCTACACTGATTAGCAGGTTACATCCCATAACTACACACTGGCCACTTGATCTGCCTCTGATACCTCCAGTAGGTCTGCAACTATAGAAAACTTTCATCCTGAGGTCCCTCAGTTCTTTCTTAAAATTTTCCTAGTGTTAGTTTGTTAGGAGAAGAGGGGAAAGGAGGAGGAAGGACGGTAGGAAGAGACAAAGGACTTCTCTTTTGCCTTAAATGTGCTCAGATTTTTTCTTGCAGGAAAATGAAATCTTAACCCATGCCATATTCTCTCCTTGAATCTTGTCCCAAAGTACAAGTTGTGTGCTTCTTCAAGGAAAGAGGCTTAAATGTCTGGGCTTGGTGTAAGTAGCTGCAATAGACTCCAACATGAGATGGATTCTCCCCTGGGGGAAGTGTGACACCTACACACCCAAAGTTCTAGTTGCCAGTTGGCCTGTGGCTCAGAGTATAAATGACTTGTCTGGGGATCGAATGTAAGAGACCTAAGTGATCATGGAGTTGGTACTGAAGCAGATCTGGGTTTGAATCAGAGATCTGATGGAATGCTTCTGCTCTCTGGGTTTCAGTTTCCTCCTGACACCTACTTCAGGATGCTCTTGTGAAAAGAAACTGAGATGATATGCACCATGTATCTGGTGTGGAGCCCTTTGTATTTTCCCTTTCTAGCCTTACCAGAATTTGTTATTGTAAGTATTCGTTAGTTTGCCTGTTTTCTGCCTACTGTCAAAGCTCTGTGAACTCCATGAGCAAAGGGGCTCCTCCCCACATCCCACCGCCCAAACACACAGCATAGTGTCTGGCAGAGTAATAGTGGAATGAATGAAACTATAAGCTCAGAAGATTGCCTTGAAGTGAGATAAAATCTTCCTTCACTCTTAAGACACTTAATACTATCTATGTGTCAGGCAGTGAAATGACAGTAAAGCAGACAAAAAAATTTATCATAGTGTGACTTAACATTCTAGTGGGGAATTCAGACAATAAGTAAATAAAAACACAGCTAGTCCCCAATTTAGGATGATTGACTTAGATTTTTCAAGTTTATGATACGCAAAAGTGATACACATTCAGTAGAAATGTACTTCGAGTACTTTCACATACAACCATTCTGTCTTTCATTTTCAGTACAATATTCAACAAATTAACAAAACATCCAACAGTATTTAAAAATAGGCTTTTGTTTTTCCCAACTGTAGGCTAATGTAGGTATTCTGAGCACATTCAAGGTAGACTTGTCTAAGCTATGTTTGGTAGGTTAGGTGTATTAAATGCATTTTTTTAAAAAGAGGTTTTTGCTACAGGGTGTGAGCTGGAGAGACTGAGACAGAAAGCAAGAAATCACTCCCCAGGGGAGATGGCCACTGTACAACCCCTTCTCCTCTAGTTTCCTCTCAGGGTTTCAGGCACACACAGACATGAGCCCAGCGTGAGTTTAAGCCGCCAGGTCCAGGACTCGAACTGTGGTTGACTATGTGGGAGTTGAGTGATGTAACCATTATGCCATCTGCTGGTCCTTTAAATGCATTTAAAAAATTTTTTGCTATAAAGGTGCATATGCTCGAGAACCAGCAGTTAGCATAATGGCTAGGTCGCTGGACTCCCACGTAGTCGACCACGGTTCGAGTCCCAGACCCAGTGGCTTAAAACTCACGCCGGGCATATGTGTGTGCATGCCTCAGATCCCGAGAGAAGAATGGAGGAGAAGGGATTGCGGCGTGACCATCCCCCCTGGGGGGTGATTTCTCGCTTTCTGTCTCTATGTCTCTCTGTCTGTCTGGCGAACGCACGCGCCCTATAGCGAAAACCTCTCCAAAAAAAAAAGGTACATATGCTCACCAGAGGAGGTGGTGGTGGGGATGAGAAAGCATCCTCAGCTGGTATAGCCACACTGCAGTCTCTTTTTCTTCTATTCTCCTCGGGATTTTTGGCACACAAACACATGCATTTGGAATGTTTTCCAAGCCACTGGGTCTGGAACTCAAACTGCATTGTCATGTGGGATCTAGCCAGCTTAACCACCATGTTACCGCTGGTCCTATTAAATGCATTTTCAACCTAGAATATGTTCAACTAACAATGGGTTTATCAGGACAACCCCACTATAAGTTAAGGACCATTTGTACTAAGTAATAAATGCTAAAGAAAATGATAAATCTGGGAAGGGAATGGGACATGTTGGAAGGATATCCAAAGAATGCCTTACTGAGAAGGTCACATTTGAACAAAGGTCTGAAGGGCGTGAGGGAGTGAGACACAGACAAGTGTCTCAGGGAGAGATACCAGTAAAGACTATTAACTTAGGCAAGAACATGATGCATTCAAAGAACAAGAAGAGGGTTGTTTGGCTGGAGCAGAGGGATTGAGGTGATAAAAGATAGGGAACAACAGGGCAATAACAAGCTGGAGGGTGTAGGGCCTTTTGGACAATTACAAGGAGTTTGGTTTTTACTCTGAGATAACAAGTGGGGCTTTGGATGCTGCAAGATAATGCATAATAATGTTCAAGGGTTCAAAGAAAAGCCAGAGAGACAAAAAGGAAGCCCCTCCTTTAAGCCAATTTCTAGAAGTGAGGTCATAGTATTGGTCTCTGTGAGGTATATCCTGGAAGCAAAAACACTTGAAAACAAATATACAAAAATATAACTTACCCTTTGGAGCCAACAAGGAGCATGACGGTTAAAGTGTTGGATTCTCACATGGCTGACCATGGTTTGGTGACTTGAAAATTATGCCAGGTGGGTGTGCATGTGTGCCCCAAAATCCCAGGAGGATGGAGAAGGAACTGAGTCATGGCCATCTACCTTGGGGAGGGTGTTTTTTCACTTTTCCCCTTTCTCTCTGCTTCTCTCATGCAAGTACACATGCACAGAATGGCAAAACCTAAACAAAACAATCCCACACAACTCAGTCATTTAACTATAGTTAAATGCTGTGCATGATGAGCCGAGTCCCACATGGCTAACCACAATTTGAATCCTAGCCTAGGTGGTTTGAAAAACACTGGGCACATGTGTGTGTGTACTCAAAATCCTGAGGGGATGAAGAAATGGAAAAGAAAGGATTACATGTGACCAAACTTTGTTAGAGGAAGTTCTCAATTTCTCTCTGGTGACTGTGCATGCCCTGTGCCAATTTAAAAAATCATTTGGGCTAAAAAGTACATTTGTAAGAATGCAAGCCCCGGGACCAGCAGATGGTGTAATTAATGGTTACATTGCTAGACACCCCTGTAGTCGACAGCAATTTAAGTCCTGGACCCAGCAGCTTAAAACTCACACTAGGCACAAAAATCCCAAAAGGAGAATGGAGGCTGGGTTGTGGCATGGCCATCCCCTCTTGGGGGATTATGGATGATTTCTTGCTTCTGGTCTCTGTCTCTCTAGTGAGCACACTCACCCTATAGCAAAAAGTTCTAAAAACAAACAAACAAATGCAAGCCCCTTGGGCCAGCTGGTGGTGTGGTTAGGCCAACTAGATCCCACCTGGCCCACCCCATGGTTCATGTCCCAGACCTAGCCACTGAGAAACATGTCAGGCTAAAATGCTGAAAGGAAGGAGATGGAGAAGGAATTATGGCATAGCCACACCCCATGAGAGTGTTTTCTCTTTCTTTGTCTCTCTCCAGTGAGCACACGTGCCCTCTGGCAAATTAAAAACAACAAAATGTAAAAACAATCCTTAATTTGCAAGCCTCATAAAAACAGGTGGCGGGCCACATTGGTCCTCTGGCCTTAAGACTGACAGCTGCTGCTTTGGGCTTTTGTTGTATTCATTTGTTATCTCAATACTCCTTTCATGGAAATAAGTAACACTATTATTCAATCTTTTCACAATAGGTGTTATTTGTTATGCTAGGTAATTTGTACTGATACTCCATTCATAGAGATAAGTAGAATTATCAGTTTGTGAGTGATACACTAAAGCAGTTTTATTGACCCTTTTTTTAAAATTACCACTCCACCTCCACTCCCTTTTTAGGTGATTTTTTCTAATTACTCATCCAATTAAATTATAATATCACAGACATTGGTTACTCTATGTACTACTGTATTTACATATGGGTCATTTACCTGTAAAATGTTTTTCTCCACCCTCCCTCCAGAACCAGTTTGTGTGTGAGA